TGAGCAGACCCGGTGTGGTGGCCATATCAGGTTGGGCCTCGGCCTGGCGCAGGGCCGACGTCAGGTTGGACGTCTGGTTCTGGGGTGAGTTGGAGCCATAGCGCGGGGGCGTCTGGATGTCGATGGGCGAGGCGGTGGCCATGTCTGCGAAGCCGCTGTGAACTTGCGGCTCCTCAGGGAAGAGGGGGAAGCTGCAGTCGCCCGCGTCTTCGAATAGCACGTCCTCGTCGGGCTGGCGGCGGGCCACAAGCTCCGTGGGCTTGCGGTGCCAGAGGTGGTGGAGGCCGGCGCTCGGGTCCTTGTTCCCACGCCCAAATTGCGGCGATGCGGGCTGCTCGACAGGCGTGGAGATGGGCGTGCTCGCTGCGGTGGATTCGCGCGGCGAGTGGGAGAGAGGTGGCGGGTGCTCGTAGGAATCCAGCTTCACGGTGGGCGAGGTGAAGGGTAGAGAGGGCAGTGGGGACGAATGCTAGTGGAACGGCGACTCGTTAGGCGCAGTTTCAGATGACTGTGCGGGTGTGTGGCGTTGTCGGCAGTGGTCGTGAAAATGAGAACACCGAATAATAATGGTGTTCAAGTGTGTCTGAGGGTAACTGGAATAGTCGATATGCTCAGTATTATGCCAGTGAATTTACGTGGAATAGCCGTGCCGGGGCGCGGTAGATTATATGCGCAAGTGGGAGCGGTGACGACGAGGGTTAGTATGGGCAGAGCGGCCGACCTCGAGGATCCCTGCACGGTGGGTGGATACGGCCAATTGCGGGCTGGCGCTACTGTGCTCTGTATGCGTCGCTCCTGCCAAAAATGCAACTCTGACGAAGGGCGATCTCGGATTATGCGATGCGAGTGACGGGGCGATGGGCGATTGCAGATGCAGCGATGCAACGGCTGCCCGTTAACATATACTGGCTTTATGATCCGTGGGCTCTCGGCCTGGCCAGCGCCGGCTTCGTGATTGAAATACGGCACTGCCGGCCGAGGCAACTCTGGGAGAGAGGCGCGCACGGCCACATGGTTTCTGGTACGCGCCCCTACTAGAGCCGGAGCATGGAGACGACTCCAAGCGTCTGCGTCTGCGTCTGCGAGCACTCGTCGCCGTCCAACGCAGGCTTCCCTGGCCCAGCGCAGTAGCATCGCCAACAACTTCTTCTAGAAGCCATCGTGCGTGGCGCCCTGGCCAGCTGGAAAGTACCGTCGGTCGCTCCTGCCCGTGGCGCAGGCAACACCACCGTAAGCCTTCGCCGCGAACCATCCTATACCCGAGTCTGCTCCGGGCCAGCTCTTGGCTCTTCACTCCCAGCACCCTACCTAGCAGCTTGTAAACGATCTCTCGTGCGAACCGCCGCTGACGCCCATGCACTCACCATCACTTGCAGTCTGCCCTGCAATTCCACCTGCTCCGCACACTAATATGACTAACATGGCTCTGCTCCGCTGGCTGCTCGCTGCGACTCAAAGGGTCCTGGTCTGCATCGCGCCCAACATGCTTCATCCCTACCCGCCTGCCTAGCCACACCAGCCCGCTCACGAGCATCCCCAGCGATGGACATCGTCGTTTCGAACCGTCACTATGTTGCTCGGCCAGGTCGGCAGAATGCATCGTCTTGGCCGGACTGCTCTCGGCTGTTTGACTCTCTTGGGCTCTCTTACACACGCACTCAACTAACCGCCGCCGCTGCCCTTAGCCTGCGCTACATGCGGTACGTACTCTGCTGTTGGGACGACTACATGCCTTTGCCTATTGATGCTCTACATGTAGTATCGTCTACTCTCAAACTCAAAGTTACTGCACCTTAGCACCTAGCGCTGTGATCACTAACCACCGCGACAATACTCGGCAGGTCTTGCGTTGCTTTTTACCCCATGGTCTGCCTGTCTGGGGTAACGAGTCTGTCGCTTACCCGCCTGCATCACCGACTGCCTGACTGCCTGACTGCTATAGCTGAAGCTACCGACGACCCGAAATGTCGTGCTCGTCCACCAACCACGACACGATAGCACACACCAAACCCCCACGGCCGCCTCACAAGCCTCATTTCCAACTCCTAACTTCCGTCAGTTGCATATTCGAAACATGCAGCCTGTCCCGTGACGGGCACCGAGCACCGGAGTCTTCTCATACCGCAACTATGTCTGCCCTACCCAAGGCCAGCCATCCTTGCAAACGTCACGCCCGGCTCGCTTCACGTCGTGAGCGCTCGTTTCATTGGACCCTGCAGCAGCTCATTCTCCCACGTCGTGCTCAATGAGGGATCCCGCCCTACACCAGTCCCAATTTCATCCCACTTGCTGTGTCACTCCAGACACCTCATCACCGCCCCAGCGAAACACGTACCAAAGACGTCGTCCCGCGGATTACGACGTCTTCGAAATATCACCGACGGTACGCGCCTGCACTCGTCATGCTTATGCTGACTGGCCTCCTCGGCGAGGGCGGAATCCGTTGGGGCGCGGCTCTCCCGCTGTCGCTTGTATACAGCACCACCGCCAAGCGCTATTGGCGGAAGGCACAACCGGTGCAACTTCCGACTTGCGAGCCAGACACACGGCTGGGTGGCGACGTCACTCACTCTGCCCATCCATCGCCATACGGCCCCAGCCCTGAGATGCACCTCGTCTCAGCTCTCGTTGCCAGCCACCAATCCAGCGTTCTTCCGCCACGCACGGTACCGTCAGCTGAATCGTCGCTCCTGACCCGAGACGAGCGCATCTTGGTACAACTCTTGCAGTAAGTGTGGCGAGCGACGCATCGTCAGATTCACGATGCCCCAAGATCGCATCAGGACTCCAGCCCCAATCCTGGCTAGCAGCCTTCACCGCCAACTGCCGCCGTGACGTACCCGGTATAACAACGTCTGCTATCCGGTAGCGCACGACAGTGCATCATCTCCTAGGCTGCTTGCAGATGTATTGCATCTTCCGATCTTATCAATGTCTAAACTGCACCATGGCCCTTTTCCGCCGGTTCACAGTACCATGGAAGACACTCTGGGGTAACGGCTACAACGGCTATAACTCCAGACAAGAACACTGTCATGCCAATTGCGGGGTAAAAAAGTAACTCTGGTATCCAAGTACGCCGACGTAGACTGACCCGAACATCAAGCGAATGTTCTGTACCAACATCTGTGACGACTCCAGCACGCAGGCATGAAGCCAGCGCATGGCACACGCAAACGCCCCAAACGCTCCCGGAATCGGATCCATCAGTGTCCAACGTTGCGACACTACGTGGTTAGAAACGGCCCTTCATCATGTTCACAATATGCGCGTCATTGCTTTTGGCGTCAGGCACGCCTACCCCAGGGGACGAATCGCAGACCATAGCAACCCGTGCTACTATCGTCTAACGTCAGTAGTCTAATTCACCTCGCTTAAAGGCTCAGCTCTCGCTGTCACGTTGTCGACAATGCAACACCAAGCAACACGGATAATGACTTATCCCACTCGGTAGTCGCAATTTTTATGAAATTGTCCGAAACATGATCGCTTGTGGCGCCTCACACGATGTCTCGAACCCACACTGCACTGTCTAATACGTTGTATCCGCCATCTCCACACCTCCACCTGCAGCGCCATGCATGATTTCAAGCTTCAACGCTAGAACCTCTAGCGCGGGCTCGGTCCTTTCTTGGGTCACGTTATCGGGCCGCTACCATACACGCAGAGCACATTCGGCAACTGCCAGAGATCAAATGTTGACGTGAACAGATGTGCAGCATGGATTGACATCGGAATACCGATTCTAGATTCTCCGACTATGCAATCGAAGGATTCCGGCCCTGGACAGCTGAGACGTTGTGATGTTGTGTTCGGTCAAATACATCATCTTCGGCCCTACATCCATGGGCAACACGAGCGCACGATCAGCCTTGTGACGTCAACCTCGACAGGATGAATCGTTCCTCTAGGCAGCTGAACCTAACGCTGGCGAACTGCTCCGCGAACGATGTTGTTAGAGGCGATGGGATCGAGCATGGCCGACCTTATCTACCTGATCGGCAATATGCTAGTAATAGCTTCCTCCCGCACTTCGGGATGACTACATCCAGTGTGTTGATATGCGAGCCCGCGCGTCACTGTCGCGCATGTGTGCGGCGTGGCATATGTCATCCCGCCAAACCCTGGCTTTTGTGACGAAAGATGCAGCACTCATCAGTCGATGCTCCTCGGAACCGCAATCACATTCCAGAGGGACTGACCTTCCAAAAAGGTATACTATGGGAATTTGTACTCGACGATCGTTCAGGCGTAATGTGGCAGGTCCGGCTTGCTTTACCCGGTGGGATGCACGTTGGAAGTGAATCATTTGTATTGGATGATCGTCGATATCGTCAGGCTTCGTGAGTAATGCTGTGTACATGACTTCTTTCGCTCACCCTGATGGTCACGGACGGCTCTTGACATCAGAAGACACGTGTGCTCATTACAACACCCGATTACCTCTTGCCCTTCGATCCGTCAACAACGAGAAATGGAGATGCTTATCTGTGGAACAACCATACACGCAAGAGACCCATCACGACCGAAGTACTGCCTGGCAGCGATGCACAATAGCAATGAGAGTGTGTCATATGGACATGTCTTCGTTTCAATATAGGGGTATCTTCTCAGTATTCGTGGACGACATGCCGCCCATCGGAGCTTCGGAATGCGGCCGACAACTTTCACCCTCATTCTCTTTCATGGACATCTCTCGAAACCACTGCGGCAACTCGTCTCTCCAGCATATCATCACCGCATAGTCTCGTTGACTACTCGTTGTGTATGCCTTAAATGTGCAACACTGGATAGGACACTTTAGGGCGAACGCAGTCGACCACAAACACACATGTGGATGGGAATCATATCTCCGCAAAGGAGTTAGACACGAAATACTGCGATAACTTGACTTCAGATATCATGTCGCATTCTTCAACGCATGGCTCTACGGTAGTAATGGAGTGAGTATTAGAACAACGCTTTTCAAAATCTGTCAACCGATGCAACACTACCTCATTTCAACGATCCAGATCGGAGCCCTCAATCTCCGTACGCGGCTTCCTCCTCCCTTTCCCTTTCTTCTTGGCTCCTTCAGCCTGCAGCACCGTCTTCTCAGCAGCACCAGCAGCACCAGCGTCCGCCCTCCCAGCCATCCTCTCCAGAACAGCCTTCCTAGCTTCCGCCTTCTCCTTCCTCTCCTTGCCCAGCCAATCAAACACGCCCTCCACATTCGTAAACTGCATGAACCCACCCTCTCTCCACGCATCCCCATGTATCTTCTTCCCGGTTTCATTATCCATCGAAGCAGACTTTTGCGAACTGAGCGCCCGTCCCCAACGACAATACACCAAGCCTTGTGTGAGTACACGCATTCTCACACCCATATTCTTGTACTCTCCTTTTTCGTAGACGGGATTGTTAGCGGTAGACGAGCCGGCCTCCCACCCACCTTTCCGATACGCAGTCACCCCGTTGAAACATAGGATCTGCGTCAACCCCGTATCGCCCCTCGCACGCTTCTTCTCAGTCTCACTCAACGCATCACGCCGCTTCTGCTCATCCTTGTCTACGTCTTCGTACTTATTCCGCATATTTTGTTGGCGCATGGAGGGATCGTTCCAACACTCCATAATCGACGAATCATAGTTATCTTCTTTGAAGAGCGGGACGTGGTGGTATGCTGTGTGCGGATCAAGGTGCATGTGCAGGGAGAGGAGGCCGGCGGAAACGACGAGGTGGCGGAGGGGGTTGAATATATCTTTGAGTGTCGGAGGGGGGATAGGGAGTGGTGTGGAGGCGGGGTAAGTAGGCGGGTGGACTAGGGAGAGGAGGGGCGAGAGATGTATCCACAGTGCTCCGATGATGGTGTTGGCGTGGGCGTTGAAGTTTGCTGGGAGGGATGTGGGTGTGGGGAGGTGGGTGAGGATGGTGGATGCGTAGGCGGCGTTGCGGGTGAAACCTATTCATGTCAGTTCAAATCTCTCCATCCTCTCCATCTTCTTCACTTCATCCAAACTCACCATCCTGATCCTTCATCTCCCTCTGCACCTTGCTCACAGCTCTAACACCCTCCTCCGTCCCACCAAAGAACGCATGCTGCAACACCTGCACAGGTAGAGATACGAGGTCAGTACATTTCTCACATGCACTTCGTAAAGCCAGAACTTACCTGCTCACTCAACACATTCCCAATCATCGCACAAACCAACGCACGCAGTTTCTCTTTGTTGACAAAAAGATCGTGCCACCCCCATAGTCCGCTAGGCCCTCCACTCGCCACACAGTTGATTAGTTTCGCCGTCTCTGGTGTTAGGGTTTTGAACCACTCTTTCTTCACTGTGATATCCTCGTTCTCATCCGTCATCGTGTGTGCGCGGACAGCGCCAGAAGCGAAATATCTCTCAGCAAACTCCTCCACAGCGCTCATGAGCCCCCACAACCCATCCCTTATCTCCGCGTCGCGGAAGGCGTAGTCTGGCTCTGAGGGTAGTTCTGCGCGGATGAGGCGGGGTGAAGCGTGGAGTTCGCGGGCGCGTAGGTTGGGTTGCTCGGACCATTTGTCGGCGGGTGTCTGTTCGTGCCAATTCCGAGGATATTCGAAGCCTGGGGGGTGGGTTGGATGGGTTATGGGGAGGGGGTACGTCATTGTGTGTTGGGATGGTGGTTGTTGTGGTGATGGTTGTGATGGTGTGATGCTTGGTTTGGTGGGTAGAGGTGAAGGTGAAGGTTTGGCAGGTGTAGGCCCTGTGGTAGTAGTATTTGATCTAACAGCCCCAGTCCTTGGTCTAGGCTGTTTGCCAACAGGTGTGTGTTTGAGTCTGTCTACTTCGATCTCGCCCATACTAGTAATAACAGGCCCGGCTGACGAGGTGGTGGGAGAAAACGATAGTTGCAGGTCGTCGTCGCTGCTGGACCAATCTATTTCATCGATCGCTTCGTTTTCTTCGTCCTCAGTCTCGCTGCCTGTGCATATCGACAGCGATGGCGACATCGCTACATGCGTGCTTGTTACAGCCAGCGTCTTCCCTGCTTTGTCGTGTGGCTCTGTCCTGCCAGTCCTACTACCTGTCCCACGCGCTTCAACCGCGTTGTACAGATCGCGCGAAAGTTTGCGCACGGATTTGGGAGTCGCATACGGCCGAGCATCGTCATCTCCATCTTCAACCTCGTCTTCAACATCAATCCCAGCTTCAAATTCAGCTTCGTCTTGAAGTTGGCACGCTGCCGCTACTTCCTCATCCAGCTCATCCTCATCCATCTCATTCCCATCATCTCCGCCCACCGCCACCGTACCCGCACCAGCATAAACAGCATTCTGGTATTCCTCCGGATCATACACTTCTCTCTTCCTCTTCTCACCCTTCCCACCCAAGCGCGAAGTAGACGTGTCTGTTATATCGCGCTTCTTGGTGGGTGGATGTTTAGCGGGCGAACTGAAGAGGTTGTGGAGGAAGGACATCGCGCGCGATGGTGGTTGCGTTGGTGGGGTGAGGATGTGCGCTGTCGCCAGGTATGGTGAAATGGCTTTACTGAAGGGTCAGTCGCATGAATGCGATATCTAGCGTCACCGGCTCTTGTATGTTGTATGGCCATGGTGGTTGCTTTGTCTTTGTTAAGCCGCGACCGCATCCGGCAGTTTGTGGGAGCGTGCAGCCGGATGGAGGTTTGCGATTGTTTTTGCGCGGGAGGAACAAAGACACCAAGAGCTGATACTGTGGTATCTTTGCGGTGCAGCGCAACAATGGGTGTCTTTGACGTGGCGATCGTCTATTGTGTTGGCAAGTTAGAGTGAGGTCCGGTGAGGGTATATGCATGCGTCGCATCCTTCTAGCTCACACATTCAGCTATCAAATTAGCAGAAGACACAACAAGGCACTTCGAACCTGATTGAGGAAAAACCACTATCATTACCTCAGTGTAGAGTAAAACCCGCTATGCTAGATACGCCTGGCTCGATAAGTAAATGTAGAGCGATGATGCAAGGAAACGCTAGATGACAACAGTGATAGACAAAGAAACTTGTATTGGTTTTTATGACTTTGGCGGTGGTGTAAAGTTCTTGTAGAAACAAGAACATAACGTGCTCTCAATCTGAGGCTTGAGCCTGACGTCGTCGCCTGACGAGCTCGTGCAAGCTGGTACTCCTTGTCCACCTGCTACGCTCTGTTCAATCTTGACGGCTATTTCACGTTAGTTGGTGTACGTGAGGTAAGAGCTGCCAGTGGTGCTTACCGTATGGCCACGCCTTGTTTGGGACCTTTCCAACTGCGATTGTGTCGTCGGGGTATGTTTGCTGCATCTTGGTGTACAAGATGCCCTGCATGTTTGTCGCACCGTAGTCGCACTCAAAGTCGCCTCTCTTCCCTCCAAGGCTTCCCGTCATGTTGACCGTCTTTGACCGCGTGATTTGGAACCGGTATCGCTCGGTGTCCTTCCCGGCGTCCAGCAACTCGAGGTCTTCATTCTGGAACGTCAGGTCGAATGTGTCGTCCTGCTTGCCCGAAGATATCTTGTAAGACCCTGTGGAACCGCTGATGTCCCAGTTCAAAATGGTAAGAGCTTTCTGTTGGTCATCGTAGTAGTTTGTGTTCGGCGGGCATGTCCAAGTGTCTGGGTCTGAGGTGCAGTCTGTTGTAACAGTATCGAGGAAGAGAACGAGGGACCAGCTTCCGACGGGGAAGTTCGAGGGGACAGCGGAGGGTGTGGAGGTGGTGACTGCAGATGGCGGATCGTCGTCGGTCGTGGAGGGAGAGTTGGAGTTGGAGGCGGGCTTGCTATCGGTGCCTGCTGGTGTCGTTGAGCCGCCTGTGTTCGCTGCGGGTGTGCTACTGTGTAATTGTCAGCCCATATGCCCTCGATGTTAGCATGAGGTTGGCCTACCTCTTCGAGTCCTTCTTCAGTCCCATCGCCAGTCCAACGCCCAATGCCACGATCAGCGCAATGATCAGGGCGGCAACCACGGCAAGCTTCTTCCATCCCCATGCAGCACATCCTCTCTGTTTCCGTTGCCGCACGTGTCCAAACTTCTCCTCATCCCGATCACTCCACACGCTGACACTGAGATTGCTCCCATTGTGCATGTCCTCGCTGCTTTCCCTTGGCGTGAGCAACCTGCCGCCCGTCAAGACCGATTGGATGAAGCCAGGCTTCTTCTCGACCCGGTGGTGTTGTACTGGTCCGACATGCTGATGTGACGGGTCGTTGCAGAATGTGCTTTCGGTGGTGACGCTGATTTCGGCAGCCTTGGACGAAGCCGACTTGCCTCGTTTGGCGTCGAGGATTACGGAGAGACGCTGGCCAGCCGGCGTCGAGATGCGCTTTGCTGGCCGGTCGTCACCGATCTCATAGTGTGCCTTTGCGCGCTTGGAGCGATAGAAGTTCATTGGATCGGAGGTTGTGGGCTATATTGCTTGTGACTCGCGGTGTATGGTGTTCTGTGTGTCAAAAGAAACCGTCCAAGTTCTCCTGACTGCAATGGCTATCGCTCTGCGGGTGGCTTGCCGCTATATCGCGCGCTATAGCCTGGGAGCGTAGGGATGCCGATGACGAAGACAATGGGGGTAGGGAGGTGAGAGGAAGATAACAGGAGCTCTCTCCACGGCTGTCAGGCGCGACGCACCCGCCTGAGCCATGACAGCTCTCGAAAGCTTGTACGAGACGGAATCTTGTTGACATGATCCTCCTCAGGCCTCGAGCGTATGGGGCCTGCGCGATATCACGCGCTAGCGACCGTTATAGTATCGAAGTAAACTCCAACAGGCTAGGGGGTCACCCCATTCTCCTGACCATCACTCATGGAGCTGGTTCTCGGTGGAGCCGCACGGTGCTGCGTCGGGAACGGGTGCGCCATGCATGGGCAGATCATGAGAGCTTCGCGGGAGCTTTTATGCAGCGACAGGATGATGGCGTGCTTGACGTCTGGGGTTCAAGAGACAAAGAGACCCTCCGAGAGCCTGAGGCAGTCTCAACGAGTGATGTCGCACGAGTGAAGCTTGTTGGTAGTAACGTTGGTAGTTCGTTTCGCGGGCGGTGTTTGTTTTGCTGAGTGATTAGGGGTCGTGTCGCTAAATCCGGAGCCTGTTCCTGCATTCGGCCCAGGGATCCGGCTCCGAGGGATTTTGCTGCCAAGGCTCGAGCTTCACCTCACTCGACTTTCACGTGCCAACGTGTATACACCGTGGCAGTTACAAGTGGCGACACTCAGCACGCTGAAGATACCTGGCTAGGCGTTCAACTGGTATCGCAAGAATGTGATGTCTGATGGATGAGGAGCGACGCTAGCTGTCGAACGCGCTTTCCTCACGCGCTCGCCCTCACCGCGCGCTTCACCGACGCGTCACAAACGCGACTGCCTCAATCATGCTCTCGCCTACCGTGACGTTTGCACATCGCGCACTTCACTCGAAAACTCTTTCCCAGCTTCTCCAACGTCTTAAATTTGGCTTCATTGTGCCGCCACCCACTGGTACTCGAAGCCCTCGCTGAAGCTGTCCAGCAGTCTCACAAACCTCACCTGCAAGATGTCTCCTCGGGTAACAGTGCAACTCGTCCCGGGATGTTCTGATGGCGACCCATTGCACGTCCCTCCACCAGGTATACACACCCAAGTAGACCCGCCTACTCTATACCTAGAGAAGATCGGCCAGGCGTGGATGGAGCATCGAGGCGAGGCCCGCCCGGGAGTCAGTTACATCCTCGAAGCTTTGCCAGCAGGTTATACCATGTGGGAGCGCCCGAGACCATCAAACGCAAAGCATGTCGACAAATATCTATATGGCCATCCTAGGAAGAAGGCTTTCGACTCACCCAACCGCTACTTCCCTCACTTCGAGCATCTGATGAGCAACAATGGCAACAGCATAGGCTGTCCATGCACTCTATGCAGTGGCACTGCAGGCGTACTTCCGAAAACATCAGCCAACAGCTCCCAGGTGCGAAGCTCAAGCGCGGCGTCTTCGCGAAAGGCATCCAACTCGTCTGCTTCTCTGCCAAGCCGGCCTTCCAGTGCCCACAGCGTTCAATCGCTTCCACTTGCACCACCGCCTAGTTTGGCACCACAGCACAAAGGTCGGCCAAAGAAGATAACTCCGGGTCTAGACACGACCAATGTCGACAGCGAAGGCACCCCCGACGTATACAGGAACCTGATCGACAAGCTTCGGCGACACCAGTCTGTGGATGAAGCTATACTGGAGCCGTTGAGCCCAGACTGGCGAGCGGAGCAGGACCATCTCCCCAAATTCCTCGGCGATATAAAGGCACAAGACCAATGGGTTCCCCGAATTGGAGACATTGTTTTGTACATACGCAACATGCCCGACAACGTTGAATTGGTGCGAGACAACGCCACCGGCGAGCTTCAATTGTACGATGAGCGGCGCAAGCAGCATCTCGGCGTTCCACAATGGGCGGCAGGCCTGGTCACTGAGCCCGCTACTGGTACCACGGTTGCCGAGCTCGTCGCCGCTACCCAGGAGCGCAACGTGTCTAGCATAGGCGTACGCGTCGAACCGGTCCCAAATCCAAACGAGTCGGACAAGTCGCTCTCTAAGAGACACAAATACGTCTTGTTGCGACAAACGAGTCCGTTTATGATGTGGAGAGACCTCTTGCGTCGCATTCCCCAAGAAGAGTGGCATGATACTGTCAAGAACGCCCTCGCCCTTATGTCGACGCTCTCGCTCATGGGCAAATATCGCTTCCGAGGGTCGTGGCCGAACGCGAGCATATATTGTCATGGCATCTACGTTGGCGCTGAGATGCTTGCCGTGGGCGACACAGTGCGACTCCTTCCCAACAAGCAATCCGGTCAGTCTGGCTGCACGGATGTCATGAGCATTAAGTCCATCCGACTGAAGTGGACCAACTTGGACAAGGCATCGGACAACGACTACAATGAAGGGCGACCATACAACTCTGAGATATGGATCTACGGGTCAGCTTATACAAGCGACGTGTCACGTTCGAACAAGACCTGGGTTACTGAACATAACGTCGAGGCCCCACGAGTCGCAAATGACTATGCCGATTGGTACCCATTGCATCCTGCTGATAAAGAACTGGCAATACCTTACTCACGCGTCCTCGGTCGCCTGCATGAGCGCGATGCCATGGCCTACTTCCTCAAGTCCGATGATCACAACGCTCCAGGACTTGATGTCGGCCGACAAGCTGTGGTGGAGGCGCGCGCCTTTGCTCGGAAACACGACAATCGCATAGCAGCGGAGTCTGATGCCACATGGTACTGGGGAGACGATCGTGCTGACGCTCTAAACCTCCGCACTATCAACGGCCTCGATGTCTCCAGATACGACCTTGACCGCGACGTCAAAGATCTCCGCCGCAAGTACCGTCAACTAGATGGTATCGCCAAAGGAGACGCGAAGTCTACAGGTCAAGATTTACTGGGCAGCAACGGACTCCGCAGCTTCATGGCTCCCACCTTGCCACTTCGTACGAGCGGCGCGAAGGCACCGAGCGAAAGTGGAAGCTCATCCATCGCAAGTGCCAGCCAAGCCTCACGAAAGCGCACGCACATCGTCGACCTAGACGAGGACGATACTGAAGAGGACGACCTTGACGAAGAGATACGAGAGCGCACTAAGGTTGTCCAAGATGACCGCCAAGGTCCGATGAAGAAAAAGGCGAAGGTGATGGTTGTTATCGATTGAAGAGCGACTGGGCGCATATGACCCGACAGGCATTGTCCGGTACGAGCCATATGGTACGAAGATGATACATGGCATATGCCCTTTATGGCGAGAGAAGTTATGATACAGCGGACTCGGATACGATGGTTGAGACGATAGCCGAACTTTCTTTTCACGACGGCGGGCATGGAGGATCACTGTTGATACCCATTTACTGCGATATGCCCGAGCAACTGTATGCTCATTTACTGTACTAGATCGACACGACATTAGGGCAGATGCCAACACTGGCCTGTTAGCTGCCACAGAACCAACATACGATAGATATTCAGGTGTGCAGTTTCATTTTGACGATGTGCTTTCGAATCGACCCACAGAGCATCCTTCATCCCATTAACCTCCTCTTACCCTCCTCCACCCTCTCAAACTTCTCAAAGTCCACCTCATCAAGCTCAACGTTACTACTTACGACCAAGTTTACCTCGTCATCTATCCCGTAACACGCCCCTTCTGAATGCGCCGCAGCCCTCATTATACATTTCTCACCATTGCTTGTCTGGGAAGTATTGACCAGAAACTCGACCTCTAGAAGTGACTGCGCACGATGGTGAGATACAACGTGGGCCCAAGCACCTGGTGTGACTGTGGCGTAATAGCCAACAGGTAGCACAAAAGAGTCATAAGTGTGAATCACACCGAGGGTGACTCAACAGAGCTTTAAAAATAGAAGCGCGTGCGAATCAGTATGTCTATTACACGACATGGAAAACATAAAGATCTTCGTTCTCGCTAGGGATTGCGACAGCCTCTTTCGGAAGGCCGTCCCAGAGGACATACCAACCGCGGACTTGCAGGTGCCACTACACATAATCCTCCGGTATTTCCATGATCAGTTCAAAGACTGGGCTGGATGGACACGCGCATTCGAAGATGGGAGGTATTCTCTAGACCGGCGAGTGAGATCTAATTTTGGCTTGCGAAGAGATGTGATCCGGTTGCTGGCACTCATCAAGTTGCGCTTAACACACGGCATGGCGTATTCTCGCACACTCTTTTGCCTTGACTGACACATGCAGGCCTAGTACCGACTTGCGACACTTATGAGGATAGTAGGTCCGAGAACGACTCGTATCGAGCCAGGAAACACAAAGCGATGCTAGCGCCCTTCCCGTACCTAACACAATACAACCTGATAGACATAATCGACGGTGTCGAAAGACTGGACGGAATGGCGGATTTCGTGCCATTCAAAAAAGAGGGGTTCGAAACAGTCGCGATTTACTTAGTGAAGAAAGCATACCCTAATTTGCCTGAGACCCTGGTTGAACAACTAGGCCACTCTATCGCAGTGCGACGTCTTCGCCTGCTCCGTCAAAAGGAACATGGGGAGGAACTTGCTTCTCGAGAAGACCAAGACCACGAAGCACAAGCCGTGCCTGATGAACGCGCGAAGATCATTGCGCAGTCTCAAGATGAGATGGCGGGCGTCTTCAACAATTTGACTGTTGCTGACCATCCAGCCTTGGAACCAACACAGCGACCAGACGGTGCTTCAAACCAGCCGACAGTCGAGTCTGGGTCAAATGCAAAATCCTCGGAAGCCGAATTGTACCGGTACCCGAGACCACCTCAGCCATCAAGAGGCTCCGATTACTGTCGATGCGACTGGTGTTCCAAACGATTGAGTGCTGCGAAGCTGCAGCGCAAAGGATCGTGGGAGTACGTTACCTGCCGTATTAGCGCGTAATTTCTGGATGCAAGCTGACACTATGCAGATCGCACTTCGACAAAGATCTAGAGCCTTACACCTGCATCTCGGAACGGTGCCAGAATACGCCGTTGTACTTCGCTAGCTATAACAAATGGCAAGCGCATATGGCAGCGATGCATTCGGAGTCCTGGGCGGAAACGATTCATAAAGTCACAGTCTGGTTCTGTTACCGGTGTCGAGATCGGGGGAGATTCCAAAGCGAGGAAGCACTCCGTGCTCATCTCGAAAGCCATAAAATCCGGGGCCTGTTGCAAGAGGGCGAGGTACATATTTCGACAACAGGAATTGATATGGAGTGCAGAACACACTGGTATCATGATTTCCGACCGCCAGGGATCTGCTTATTCTGCAACTTCGATGCCGCCGTCACAGCAGATCCAAGAAAGGGGCGTGAACCGAGGAGTTCAAACCCCCGTGATGCTATGCTTGAAGCGCGTGAGGCTGAAGAGCATGTTCGAGACAAGCTCTGGGAGCACATTGGCCAGCATCTCAAGAGCCTAGCTTTCTTATCGCTAAGATGGTGCGAACATTACGGACCAATTTTCTAAGGGGGTATTGGGAAGGTGGATGCCGCGCAGAGGAAAGGATCTATCGGTGATGATGACGATGATCAGGAAGCGGCATCAATGGCGGGGTAGTCGGCTGTAATATCAATAGTATACGTCTGAAACAGCCTTCAATCTAGTATACCTGAGAATTGAGCGGGAATCAGCCGCCTTGATATCGACTGCGAGTGACAAGGCAAAGGAAGACTGCACTTGACAGATAATTAGGCCGATACGTACGATAGCGCGATTACTCAACATCCTGTTCCGAGGTTCCGAGGAACGCGTTGCGCGTCTTCCCCGCATCGAAGCTAATCATGCAACCAGCACCAGCACTCCAAGCTATGCACAACAAGCTTTCGGTAGTAGATATCTTGCTACCCATCTCCACGACAAGATGTGAGGACAAGTGACCCAACATCGCATCCAACAAGCCGCCTCCAACCCCAACATCACCACAATGTCCAAAAACCCCACCAGCAAACCCGTCATCGCCGTCGTAGGCGCAGGCCCAGGCATCGGCGAAGCAGTAGCCCACCGCTTCGCCTCGGAAGGCTTCGTCGTCGCCCTCCTCGCGCGTACAGAAGAAGCGTTACAAACCATGGCCGCGAACATCAACAGCGACGTCGGCACCGGCACAGCGCACGACTACATCACAGACCTACGCATCGAAGACACAGTAACATCATCCTTCAAGCGCATCCGCGAAGAGCTCGGCCCCGTCAACGTTCTTGTCTACAACGCCGGCGCGCGACGCGTAAACGGGCGTTCGCTCATCGACACGACGTCGGAGGAATTCGAGAACTTCACCAAGATCAACCTCTTCGGCGCGTTTTGGGCGAGCAAGCTTGTTATCCCGGATATGCTTGCCGCAGGCAAGGGAACCATCCTTTTCACCAGCGCGACGGGTGCGTTGCGCGGTATGCCAGGCCTAGCGTCGTTCTCACCCGGGAAGTTTGGGCTGCGCTCGTTGTGCCAGGTTATTACGCGGGAGTATCAGGCGAAGGGGATACATGCTGTGAATGTTATTGTGGATGGGCCGGTTGATGGGAAGTTAATTGGGGGTGTGATGAAGAGGCAATGGGAGCGGACTGGGCAGGCAGACAAGGCGGCCGATGTGGACAGTCATCTTGTTCAACCGAGGGATTTGGCGCATACGTATTGGTTCTTGCATACGCAGCCGAGGAGTACGTGGACGCAGGAGTTGGATGTTAGGGCTATGAAGGAGACGTTGTTTACGAAGCTGTAGGATAACAGCGACTTAGAATAGCATCTATCAATGTACCTTGTCACAAACACGTAGTGAGGTGTAAGATTACATTGCAATGTGACATCTTCACTGCTTATCTACTGCGAATAATGGGCTGGGTATAGCCCCTCTACTGTGTTACAATACTGCGTTGACTAGACCGCTTTGTGGGCTCTGCTTAGGCATCGACTCCAGTCTCCTCCCAAAAGAGTAATGTGACATCTTCAAGGCCTACAAGCGAGCCTTCACAGTCTTCTCCGCTTCTTCCGCTTTAGCTTGTTCGGCAAGTACCCTCCGCAGTATCTTGCCCGCGTTACTCTTTGGTATCGCTTCCACGAAGCGGATTCCGCCCCTCAACTTCTTGTGCGGCGACACACGCTCGTTGAACCATGATTGTACCTCTTCCTGCAGCTTCTCATCGCCCGTATACCCTGCTGCCACAACGATATACGCTCTTGGTAACTCCGTCACCTTTGACTCACTGTACACGCCGATGACGGCTACATCAGCCACCGCCGGGTGACCAATCAAGAGAGCTTCGAGTTGCGCCGGCGCGACCTGGAAGCCATTATACTTGATGAGCTCCTTGACGCGGTCGGTGATGTAGAGATTCTTATGCTCATCGAACTTTGCGACATCGCCGGTATGATACCACCCTTCCGCGTCGAAAGCTGCGGCCGTAGCTTGGGCATTGTTGTAGTACCCTTTAAAGATGTTCGGTCCTTTCAAACAAAGCTCACCTTCTTCGCCTATCCCCATTTCCTTTCCGTCATTCACCACCTTGGCTGACATGTTAGGCAACAAGTGCCCGGATGTGCCCAACGCCGTGCTCCAGGTTTCGATGCGTTGCACGCTCACGGCGGGTGCAGCTTCAGACATGCCGTAGACTTGGAGTATTTGAGCGCCGAGGCGCTTGTGTATCGCGGTGATGATCTCGACGGGTATTGGGGCGGCAGAGGAATGCAGGTCGCGCAGGGACTTGAGGTTGTACTGGTCGACAATGGGGGCCTTTGCCAGAGCGAGTGCGACGGGCGGAACGATGTAAGCGATGGTGACTTTCTCTTTGTCTACCGTCTCGCAGAATCTCTTGAGGTCAAATCCTGACATGATGTGATTGGTCACGCCGTAGAAGATGGTGTTTAGCAGTAGTGTAGCAATTCCTGCTTTTATCAGCGCATGTTTGATCGTGACCTCGTTGAGCTTACCATAGATGTGATACATGGGTAGGAAGCCAATACCCGTGTCTGTTTTCCAGTTGGTGTTGTAGCCATTTGCCGTCGTAGCCTGAATGCTGTTTGCCACGACGTTCTCATGCGTCAGCATGACACCCTTTGGCTCGCCAGTGGTTCCGGAAGAGTACACCAGGTACGCCAGATCTTCTTTGGGGTCGATTTTGACTCGGTTCATGCTGACTGACGCGCTCTTCAGAGAAGAGAAGTGCTGGACCGATCCCGATGTCTTGCCATCTCCGACCACAAGTATCCGATCCAGAGGAAGGCCGACTTTCGATGCTGCCTTACAAGCCACGTCCAGACATGCTGCATTCGTCAATAGTCCCTTGGCTTTCGAAGATGTCAACTGGGACACCAGCTCATCGACGGTGTACATGAAGTTTAGAGGACACACGACACCTCCAGCAAGTAAGACGCCGAATGTAGCAGGCGCGACATCGATATCATTCGGCGTCATGATTGCCAAAACATCGCCTTTGCGCCATTGCCATTGTTTCTGGAGGCCCTGCCCGAACCGTTCCGCGGTGGACCGTAAATCAGCATATGTGAGCTTTCGGCCGCTGGCAATGTCTACGAAAAGCACTGCTATCGTGTTAGCTGGCGCTCGATAGAAGTGTGTCAAGACATGCCATGATCATCCGGGTACTCGCGATCCGGTCGCTCGAGAAAATATGTCCATGCATCGACGGCGGGTATGGTAATGGGCGGGTATGACGACTCAATCGGCATTGTTAGCAGTCTATTGTTAGCAGTATATTGTTAGCAGTGTAGCAGGAATGACTGGTTATGGTGCAGCGTTCAGCTCGAAATAGATGTTATATTTCCCATCGACGTGATCGTCATTGAAGTAGCGCGTTCAAACATTAGGGTTTGGTACTTCAATGGCTACGTCCGTAACACTAACGCGTCAGCGGCGATCGCATGTGATTAGTCGTGGGTACCCAAGTCGGCACCGTGAGACCTCGGGAGAAACCATTGACATGGGCCCAGCGCTCAAGGCGGGCAAAATTCCCTCCGCCCGCACACAGGCATTTGGAGCCTGCCAGAGCATAATATCACGCGATAGCTGTAATCCTGAGCCCCTAGGTGCTGGCTCGGTTGAGCTCACACAAGCGGAACCGTAACTTCGGGTGGAAGGCGATCGTCTGTCTCTGCGGAGGAGAGTCCATGCTGTAGTTTGAGCTGAGGACGCGCACATCAGCGTGTTGTGGTTGATGAAGGTAACATCGAGTTCGGCGGGATCGAAAGCTGGGAAAGCGCGCCAGCCGAAAGCAGACTAGGCTAAGATCACGTGGTCTCGGCAGATCTCCGCGAAGTCCGGCTCGTGCGCACCATTAGCAACAAGAAGAGACATCACGCTCTTCACATGCATCAAACTCGTCACACATGGCAACGGCACGGTGGAGAACGACTTCTCTTACTTGTTCATTCACGCGAAAATTGCCTTCGCGACGTCCAGCAGGCAGAGACTCCATTGATGGTCTGTAACGCGTCGAGCTCTGCAGTGGCTCAGCAACCAAACCCCCCAATCGCCAGAAACGTAGCAGAAAGCTATCATCTTTCCTGGATCGACTTCGTCTCCACCTCGCTTCTGGGATGCTGTCTTCAAGTCTTCCGCCCTTGTCTCTTTCATGTCTGGCCCTTACACATGACCCGTGTCTCCCATCGCCATCAGCCGCACACTCTAGTCTGCGCCAATCTTCTTTGCTGAGGCACCCTCATCAACTTCCGCCTGCATGGCCTCCTTGCTCCTGTTGTCCTTGCCCTCAAGTGATGGTTCGCCGCCTTCTTCCGCCACCATCAGATTACCGTCTTCTCCAATACCAGCAGCTACCTCCTCGCCGTCCTCAGCCACGTCTACCTCTCCTACGGGGGCGCCATGCTTAGCAATCGCCCCCAGCGCGATAGTAAGATGACCGAGAGTCATGTGATCGTTTCCGATTGTGCTGTACACTGATCTATGGCCGGTGTAGAGCATGATAAGCTGGAAGAGCGCCTTCGTAATGAAGGCGAAGCCACTCACACGTCCACTCTTTGTGAACTTGCTGAAAACGCCAGTGCCCTTGAATCCTTGTGATCCATGCACCTGCTGATTCACACTGCCGTCTTCAACAGTGTAGTAGTGCAGACCTTTGAACTTTCCCGTCGTCTTTGCGTTGACTTCAGTCAGCCATAGCTCGTTTTTTATCTCTCCAGATCGAGTGGAGGTGTAGCCGACTCTGAGAGCGAAGCGGCCCGGCACATGTTCTTTGATCTCGAAATCGTCGTGCGCAAGCAATATGGAGAGCCCAACTGGATGAGCATGTTTCAGGTAGTTGAACAACTGGTCTTGGGTGTATATGCCATTCTTCGAAGCTGGGAACAAAGTCAGTGACATTCCGGCCTCGAATAAGTGCGACGTACTGTGCTTGTAGCGCTCGTATTTACTACACGCCATTTCGCAATGAGTACGTGCTCTGGACGGATGTGGTGTACGAGTAAGAAGAGATTGAAATCTCTGAGGGTCGAAGGAGGGTGGCTTTTGTGAAACACCTACACTAGCATATCCAAGGTGAAGGTGAGTTAACTAGGTGATTTCTCGGCTGAGCGACGAATACCAGATACTGAGTGACTTCAACAGACAAAGCCAGCTTGTACTTTGCTGACCGTCTGGTACGCGGCTCCGAACAGAGGAGGTGGAGGTAGAGTGGGTTAGTGTTGCAGTCACTGCGTCTCGCAGTCGTCGATCGTCCGAACTACCGGTTTCGCAACCTTCACTATAGCCTCTTTGACGGAGCTGCCGACCGCCTCCCAGTGCTCGCCGAGCCAAGTCAGATACAAGTCAAGGTCCGTATGGTGCAGTCCAGGAACCTCATGCAACAACTTTTGAACAAAGTCACGAATGTCGCCACCTTCACTACTACCAAACAACGCTGCGTGCGCGGCCTGGTACATCGCAGACTTGGACGTATAAATGCCGTCACCGCCTACTCCAGTGGCTCCAATCATCGCGTCGGCGTAGATCTCGCGGTACATTTGTAGCGACAAAGGAGAGTGCGGCGCATCGAGAACTTCGTACCCTGGCATCCAGTCTAATGTCAGGAATTTTGGAAGGGAAGCGTAGCCAAGACAGCGTGGGGCGGTGGAAGCGCGCTCCCAGTCGATGATACCGGTCACCTCGCCGGTATCGGGGTCGCAGAAGACGTTCTGAAGGTTGAGGTCGTCATGGCGAAGGACGAAAGACTGTTCGTTATCACTATGCTGAACAGATTTTGCGAAAGCCTCGCTTCGGAATAGTGCATCCAGGACTCCATGATAGACACCGGGCCTTCCTTCATGTCCCTCGAAGGGCCAGACATCACGCAACTCGTCCATGAAGCGCTCCAGGCTTGAGTCGTATACTGGCTTCTCTACAAGCGCCTTTTCAGTGGCCAAATCTTCGGCGGTCAGATCTGGGTCGATATTCCACTCCCAAAGCGAACCAATAGCAGGCGTTCCGTTTGCGTCAACAGTGTCAAAGTCCAACGCGCCAATCTTGTCGAACTCGAGATGACGCAGCTCGGCCATGGCTTGGGCCAGTGAACGAAGTATGCGCTCGCGCTTTGACGCCAGTTTCTTGGAGGGAAAGTCGACTGTGTCCCGATCCCAGTCTTTATGAACCGGGTCAGCGTCGTGCCAGACCTCAGAGGCGGATCTGCCTGTGCAGGCCTTCATCAAGATGTAAGGCGCACCTAGCGTATTATCTAACTTGTCGTCGTAGGCTACGACCTCAGGAACGGGGCATTTGGTACGCTCGCCGATGAGTTTGATGGTGCCAAACTCCGAACGCATCATGTATGCATCCTGCTTCTGCCAGCGAGCAGCAGTGCCGACGCAAGGAATCTTGACCACGTATTCGCCGTCGTCAGGGCTGTTGATAACCCGGTATATCCGAACGAAGTTATAGCCACCCTCAAATTCGCCGCAGAAGAGATAGTCATCTTCGCAGTACTCGGAAGAGGGGTTGAGATGTTGCCAAAGGGTTTTCTGGAAGTTCGAATGGTCAAGCGCACGGAGTGGCTCCCAGTCCGCGCGATCAAGCGCTTCGCCATCAGAGCACGCGCTTGTTAAAGAAGAGGTTACCGAACCGTCCGACTTAGGCGTGGATGATTTATAGTCTTCAAACTCCTCGTCAGATTTGGCACCGCTGGGCGAGACAGCATTTTCGCGCTGGATGAGGGCGGCGATTGCGGAGTTGTCATTGCCGCAGGCACGCTCAACTACTTTGAACCAACCTTCTCCACTATCCGTCGTAGTTTCGGGCGTAAGCAACCGCTGAGGTAGCTCGGGCAGCGTTTCGATGATGGTGCAGATACCAGAGATAACGTTGAGGCTTGGTAGCAAACGCGCGGCTGTTTGTGAAGCAACGGCTTCGTGCGACACATCTGCTCGCTGTGATACTTGGCTTCTACGATGGCGCGCAAATCGATCGCGGAACTTTTCGTAAGCGATGGATAGTACTGTGGGTAGATCACCATTCCGCTTGCCGGAACGATCGCGGGTTTTGAGATCGTTTACGATGCTCGGCGCAGGCGGTGTCTTGCGAAGCTTGGTCTGAGGGCTGTCCTGAGGGCGCTTGGAGCTGAAGCTGGAGGCCAGACCAGGAAACAAAGATGTTAGACTGAAGTGCATGTTGGCACAGATACTTGGGGATGATTATCGGCTGGAGTTGGCGTGATGTTCGGTCGGTTGGCTGAGTGTCAAACTATCCGTAGTAAGGTAGTGTTTCGGGGTAGAGAGAATATATAGGACTCGAAGAAGTGAGCAACATATACACAAGTCTCACGGACCGGAACCAGCGCCACAGTGGAGCCCGAGCTTGTCTAGCCCGTGAATTGCGCGGCGTAGTGAATGATGTACATGTTGACAGATGGAAACGAATCACCACGTAGCAAACGCTACGCAAGTATCCTATCCAAGCGAAAGGTTACTTCGAAATGGCTGCAACAGTGACTCGTCGTCGCATATACGGTCTCTGCTATGGTCTTCCTTTCGATGTCCAGTGAATTCATGCAGGAATGTCGAGGCAGTTACCTATGTTATTTGAGTCTCCACACTTCAAGCGCATACTAGCACAGATCGTGGCGACGCATGGAATCAGCTCAGCTCAATGAAACGCGTCTACCAGAAGGCAGCCATGTTGTACGAGAATGCCTCGGCGCTGCAAGGATTTCAGTCTCTATACACTCTCGCCGTACTCACTACCGCCCAATATACACCTGCATACAGTTCCAACCTTGACTTAACCCAAAGATTAACCAACATGGTAAAGCTCGCAGGAGGATGGATAGACCTCAACGAGAGATACGGAGAAATGTTCAGAGGCGACTTCAACCCCAACATCTGCAACAAGAACACCCTCAAAGTCTTGGGCTTGACACACCATTGCAAGGACTGCAAGGTTGGTACACACTGCGGTATTCTCTGCACCCCCTGTCCACTCTGACTGACCGCCGATCAAGGCGCCCCCACAGAAGAAGTGCTTTTGGCAACTACATTTCGGTCTGTATAGTAACAAGCGCGGCCATAAAAGGAGCTGACGAATCCAAAAGCGTTCTGCGACGAATGCGGCGAGCGCTTCACGGTCTGGTCCAGGGGATGTGGTAAACATCCTTACAGCCACGGCTACAACATTATCTTCAAGGCCGTACGTGATGACTGGCCGGCCTCGGAGATAGAGCGACTACTGGCAACAAGTGGTAGTGTCCAGGACGAGGGCCTCGCAGATCTAATCGACAACGATGGCGCCTCCCCCGATCCAGACCCCGAGGATGGCGATGTTGCTGAGCTCGCTGGAATGGTCGCAGACGCCGATATCAGTACGAACAGCGAAGCCATCGAAAACTTCGACTCTACCCAAACGTCCCCAGTGCCTGAAGCCGACCCCAACGACCAAGTTGAACAAAGTGTCGCGTCGTCTCCCCCTGTCCCCACAGGAAAGACTTCCCGAACGTCGCAATGGCTTCCCACCGGGCTCAAGGGTAAAGACGCCAAGGGCATGAGAAAAGCGCGTGCGGCGACCGGAAGAAAGACACGTCGAGATACAGAAGCTGCTGTGCAGGCCGAGATAGCTGCGGATGAACGCGTGAAAGATGCGCAGAGAGCCAAGAGAGCCGCCGACGTAGCCAAGAAAGCAGAGCAAGAGAAGACGAGGATGGGAAGAACTGGCCATAAGAAGAAGTAGGTTTTGCTTGGCCGCCTCGTTCAAGTTGTGCAATTACAGTTACATTGGGAGTCTAGGGCATGGGCGATGAGGCTGCTCGACTATTGATATGCGCGTATGGGATATGTAGGAGACGACATTAATTGAGATGATAATACGTATGATGCGCATGTATTCAGAACCAGCTGTGATGCAACCAGTACGATCAGCCATGTACATCGCATAAGAACACTACAACGCGACTTACAATACTCCATATCGCATTGCCACTCAGCTTCCACCACCCATAACTTTCGTCAAGCTCATAGGCAGGAAATTGCCAAGCCCAAGACCACCCCCCTCCATGCCACGCAGCACCTTGCGCATCGCAGTGCCGCTCTCCCCCTTCGAGCCCGACCCGTACACAAACTCCGCCACCATCCTCAGCTGCATAGGCGCCTTATCATCGCCGTAGTGGCTGATCATCTCAGCCTTTGTGACCTTCTTCCGCACATCGTTCCATTCGCCGCTCTCAGCCCACTTCTCGCACTCTTGCCTGTGTTCGGCGTTCCACCACGGAGGTAGCAGACCCCGCCGAGTCTCAGCCAAGTCTAGGAACTTCCGGAATGGCTCGATGCTTGAAGACTTGCCCGTATAGATGCTGTTCGGTGTGGGCTTATTCTCGAGCTTGTTATCGTCTTCGGAGCGCATGCGGAAGGAGTCGATGAGGAGTCTGTAGACGTCTTTCTCGGGGCGGTCGTGGAGGTACTTGCCGTCGTCGAGTCGTGTGAAGGGGTTCGGTACGTGCTTCTCGAGAGTCTTCATACGAGGCGCGGCGTAATTGGAGCTGTGTTCGGTTTTGGGTGGGAAACCATCGTAGGCATTGGCATTGGCTTGCGCTTGCTGGGCGCAGATCTTCTTGTGGTTCTTCCAGTCATCTTTCTGGCAGTCGCGGCTGCAGTATGGTGTTGTCTTGCACTTAGCGCACCGCTGAAGTGTGCCTTTCTCGGTATCAGCCTCGGCTTTGTTGCATCGGGCGCAGTTGGACGGCATCTCGCTCTCGCTCGTGCTCGTGGTGCTGGTTTCTTTGGATCCGAACGGATTTGGGACGAATAGCCAGACGAATACTGCAATGAGTACCCAGACAAGCGTTGAAGGCATGATGAAGTGTACGGCACGGTGGCGAGCTGGATTGATATATTGAAAGAGGGGGAATTCGGTCCGTAGGGAAGACGCCCACAATGTGAAAGCAAAATCTCGCGATCAACGTCATCGTCCTAAAACACGCTAAGGAATTAAAGTGGGGTCGAAGATTCCATCCCGCCGCTCCACGTTCCCGCCACGTACTCACGTGCTCTGGCGTACACGTGCTTCTACAGCCACGTGCCTCAGCTCCTTCTGAGCAGCATAAAACTCGCAGTATCTCAATCTTTCTGATCTTTCGTTCTTGAAAATGAGTACTTCGTGATTGATGGGCGGTGTGACACTCTCGAAAAAAGCAAATGGAATATTCGAGGCGTGGCGCATGCGGGACGAGCAGCTCCGAAACACGCATCGTCGGCGCCCGCGTGATCCTATGTGCCTTCTCATCATCCATTCAGACATTCTTAATCCATGACGAAGGCTCCTCTCATGTCACGATCAGCATCTCAACACATCGCGGTTGCGGGATGCCATCCTTGCGTATAGAAGCATGTGCGGGGATAGACGATGGAAGGCGGATGCGGGGAAGCTACACGCGTCTACCTCCCGACTTACGTCGTAGTTGACGGTCGATAACGATTACAAGAGCGCGACGACTGGACGTGTGCAATTTCGAGGAACGCCTGATTGCCATTCATTCCATATAAATGGCCATCTTCCTCACCATATATTTGGCAAGATAGCAGAGTTCCATGCTACCTGACAGGCATACACACCACTTCCAGCAACCGCATCATGCAAAACCCATCCGTAGTCTTGTATGGGCCGAAGAACGCAAAGATCGAAGATATCGCAGTGCCAGAGGTGGTGGATCCTCACGATGTGATCGTTCGCATTAATTATGTGGGAGTTTGCGGAAGCGATGTAAGACTACCACTCTTTCCATTCACCAGAACAGTTCTCGTTATACAACCCCATCAACCAACTAACCAAACACAGGTCCATTTCTGGCACCACGGCGGCATCGGAAAAATGATAAACCCCACCGCCGGCATCGTAATGGGCCACGAAGCCTCCGGCACCATCCACTCCATCGGCCCATCCGTCAAAAGCGTCAAACCGGGTGATCGCGTAGCTATCGAACCAGGCATACCATGCCGTATCTGCAAAGCGTGTAAATCTGGGGTTTACAACATGTGTCGCGATATCCGTTTCGCCGCGGCACCTGGACCGCCTGATACGCAAGGCACGCTGTCGAAGTACTTTCGCAGCGCGGAGGACTTTGTGTACAAGATTCCTGATAAGATGGGGTTGGATGAGGCGGTGCTTGTTGAGCCGCTCGCGGTCGCTGTACATGCTGTCAAACTGGGTGATGTGAAGGCCGGCGAAACGGTTGTCGTGATGGGGAGTGGGACAATCGGGTTATTCTGCGCGGCGGTCGCACGTCAGTTCGGTGCGCATCGCATCATCATTGTCGATATTCTAGAGAAGAAGCTAGAGTTTGCAGCGAGCTACTTGAAGTGCGAGACCTTCCGTTCGTCACTCGACGCGAGTCCAGAAGACAACGCCGAGGCGCTACTCAAGAAGTTCGACCTTGTTGAGTATGGCATCGACACCACTGGCGGTCTTGTCGACACGGTCATCGAAGCTTCCGGTGCGACGACGAGTATTGACATGGGCATCAACCTTGTGCGCCCAGGTGGAAAGTATGTTCAGACCGGGCTTGGGAAGCCGAAGATCGAGTTCCCGATTGTGGCCATGGGCCAGAAAGAACTCATGGTGAGGGGGTGCTTCCGATACGGTGCAGGGGATTACGAGCTTGCGGTGGGTTTCTTGGAGAAGGGATTGATCGATGTGAAGCCGTTGATTAGTTCGGTGACCCCGTTTGAGAAGGCGACCGACGCATGGGAACAGACTTCAAGAGGAGAGGGTATCAAGAATTTGATTCGAGGGGTGGAGGGCTGATGGTTAATGTGGCTCAAGAGAACGAAATTTCTTCTCAATCCATCTGCAACACGACTTTAACAACCAAGCGTCTGTCCTTGCTTCGTCGAGCGTGCGTTGTCCATCCTCCAGACACATTTTGCCCACATCTTCAAATTTCTCCATGTGTGGTACACGGACTCAGTATCACGGTCCAAACAACAGCCCACCTTGCTATTGGGGATATCTGGGCGACGCTCGATTTTCTTAACAAGCCTACTCAATGTCGTTCCTTCATGTGCAAAGTTCAATGAATCCGCGTGGCTCCATCGAAACCCCAACGGTGGAGCGACCAAGTCTACCAGGTTTGCGTGTCCATCAATCCAGAATACCGGGCAGGCTTGTCGAGCATTCTTCTTCCAGTGTTTTGGACAGATCTGGTCGAGAATGTCCGTGAGATAGAGGAACATGCTCATCTTAAGTCTCCCATATGTAGTATAGTGGGTGTCGTGGTGTACATTGTCGCCTCTAGTGTGCTGAAGCTCGACAGCAACACAGATCTCGTCTACCTCAGTACCGTCATGAGTAGTTCCCTTCAGATTGAGCAACCCGTTCATGTTGATGCGAACATCTGTGGGGTTAGTGGCGCGAGTGAGTGCCACTTGGACTAAGATCGTTGGTAGTGCGGACGTCGAATACAGGCTTTGAGAGGCGATCAGTTCCACCAGATGATTCCGATGCCCGCCTTCGCGGACCCCCACCTCAGCGTCATATCTTCTCACCAAATCCGCGTCGCTGTAGTCACTGACCCTCTCTTTAGCCGTAAGCTCTATGACCACCGGCATGTATTGACTAACAGCTTGAACTAAAGATTCCCGGAGTGTGGCAGAAACATCGAAAACATTCCGATGGAAATTGGGTTTCCGGGCGGAATTTATGGGAAGCTGAAGACGATCTTCCGCGGTGATTGCATAAGCACAGATCATGCCTTGCACATCGTCAGGAAGATCCGTAAGTGAATTGACTGGCCTCGCGGCGGACCATCTGACCACGCCAGACGCTGGGTGGATAGAAAAAGAACGGTGAACACTTCGCGATCCTGTGTAGTACTGGACCTGGCCGTCTTTGCTGACACGGTGCATAGTGACTGACGAGAGAAGCAATTCTGAGTTGGAAAGGCGTCGAAGATCTAACGTTTCATCCTTGGCAAGAGCCGCGAACGCCTTGTTCAGTCGGACGGTGCCTGCTACGATATCCGCAGGACTCGTGCTGTTGGGATGCATGCTTCCGGGACATTTGAATAGGAGTCTAGGGTGGGCGAAGGTAATGCTACAGCGTGGTAGGTCTCCATTCCAGACTATCCTTAGTAACGGCAGTAGGTTTTGGTCCAATTCAACCTGGTCACATCCCCAACCGCAGACAGTCGAGATGTCGATCACTACCTTTGTTATCAACCTCATCTGAGAGCCAAGTGAGGCGAGCCATATTGGCGCATAATTGATTTGGTGGTAGTCACCCCGATCGCTGGCTTGACACCGCCTGATTGGTTCGCGGTCACACCTCTGACCAACTCTGGTAACGAGGAAGGTGTTGTTGGCGTACAAGATGCCAACCGTTTCGTGATACATCTGGCGACAAGACTTCAGCAGGCCGATCCCAAGAGATGCTTCATGCCTGAACCCCTGCGCTTCTGTCCATTCAGAGTCTTGCCTCTTCTGCCAATTTTTCAGGCTGCGGGGAACATGCCTGCCCTTCCGAGAGTCATAGCCCATTCTGTCATCTTCTGAGCTGTCATCGGCGAAAGACTCATCGTCTGCACGAATCTCATAAGGCCGGCGGTCGTAGTAGAAGTCGGAGTTATGGATGCGTATTCCCGGTTGTCGTGGCAGCACGAACACGTATTCGCTGATGGTATTGCGCACCTCCGCCGGCAGCGTCAGGAAGGACGGCGCGGACGGATCTAGGGGAGCCGAACAGCCTTTTGGAATTTCCATGGCAGTGTATGGAAAGATGTGTGCCAAACGGTATTAACGAGGGACATGGGTGTTGCGAGGCAAGACAGAGCTGATGGCGGTCAGGAGACAATTGGAAGGGGCGGCACAGTATCCAGACTAGGCTGTTATAGGTTAGCACGGCAACGCGAAACTCACGCGTCCAAACTTCCAGCGATGGCTCATGATGCTGCTAATGGCATTGATGCTATTCCATGTCCGTACCTAGCTATCACCGCATTCTCCGCCAGTTCCTGCAGAACATCTCAGCACCAGTATCACGACGATGTTGTCGCGTTTCTTCAATGGCGCGTCCAGAACCCCTGGTGTCACCCGCATTCTCCCCGGAGCATGGACCCACTCACAATCCTTCAACGCCTCATCTTCTTTAGCGCATCATCAAGGCTGCCCCATCCGACTTCCACACACCGCCTCAAATCATCCCAAGCATGTATCAAACACTCGTCGCGCCTATCTATCGGACATGCAAAGTCCATCAGCTCTGCGCGCCGCTGAATGACATCAGCCACCGAAGCAAGTTTCAACTTCTGGCCTCCCGAAAAGCCAGGGACTGCATTGCTGCTCACGTCGGACTTCCATTTGGTTGCTCTTGTGCAACGAAACTCGTGCGGTTTCTCGATGCATTGGAGGATGGCGCCGAAGCCGTTGATGCGTATGTTGGGTGTGTAATGTTGGCGCTCACGAGCATAGATGCTGTCTCGGAGGAGGTCGGTGAAGAAGAGGAAGACGGCTTGTCTTAGCTTCTTTATCGGTACTTCGCAGCAAGATCTCTCGCGTCCCCTGTTGTCCTTTATGATGATCTTGATGGTCGACCACATGTTGGTTTTGAGTATGGACATACTGCTCAGGAAGCGCACGAGACCTCTCATGTTAATCTTAACATCCTCGAGACCTTTTTCGTCGCCCAATACGAAGTTGAGGTTGATGCTCTGGCCGCTGGTGAGCCCAAGCTCGCCCCTGGCGATGTAGCTGATAGTTGTGTTGTTGATGGCCTCCGGCCAGAGCAGGGCGTCGAGTGCGCTAAATCTCTTGAAACTCGTCTCGGCTTCCTGACTGGTCATTGAGAGGGTCAACGAATACCCTGGTCGGATGAGAGACTTCACCGAGCAGGGAACCAGACTGAGAAGGGTGAGATCAAGTCCGTGGGTAGCTTGCGCAGTCAGATCCACGACGATGCCTTCGGGCCCAAGTGCTACATATCGAGCGATGATCTGTCGAATCGATCTAGGCAGGTCTGCGCGGGATGTTATCGGCTTTTTTGGGTTCCAGGAGACTTCTGCTCCTTTACTCAGAATAGTGAAGAACCTCAGCCCCGAGCGTTTGTACTTGACGAAGTGCCATTCAGATCGTCGTCCCACTTGTTCAAATTCAATCACGACACTCTCTAACGATCGCGAAACATGTCTTAGTCCAAGCATATCTTCTTTCCCGAGAGTATGTAAAAGAGTGTTGAGATCTTCAGTGACCACTCCAGGCGCTCTTGCATCATTAGGATGCGCAGAAAGCACTCTCCCTGTAGACTCAAAGACTATCTCGCATCTAGCTTCCGGGTGCGCCCACATAACGCGGAGGAGGGGAAGGGCATCGAAATCGGCCACCCAACGGCAATGGGATGGACACATGGCATCCGTGTCGATGACCACCTTTCGCAGGAAGCGGTAGTGATCTCCAATAGAACTCATCCATCGAGCAGAATAGTTCAGTTGGTTATATCTTTTGTTATCGTAGAATCCTGGAGCATACCATGCACGATATCTGTTTGTAAGGTAGTTGATATCGTGTCTGTCGGTGTGTCGACTGAAAGCGAACGTGTTGTGCCCGTAGAGCACTCCAGCTGCCTCGGACCAAATCTGGCGACAAGATCTGAGTATACTGAGCCCATCCGAAAGGTCATGGGCAAATTTTGCTTCCAGGAATTTTAAATCCTCCGCGTCGTTGTTCATAGCTGCTGCCCATGCTGAACGGTCGCGTTCGTAATGCGAGATGCCTTCGTATTGGCATGATTCGCACAGACAGCGTGGCCCTCCATCATCGTCGTAGTCGTCTAGATCTGGTGCTCGTGGAAAGAAGGCGTCAGCGTTGTGTAAGAAGACAAAACCATCATTCTCGAAAAGCAGCTCGTAAATGGCGTTTCGTATTTCGGCAGGCAGTTCTAAGACAGAAGGTTAGGACGGGTCGGCAGGGTGAGAAGTGACTTGCATAGGCTGCACGATTGTCGCACCTTGCGACACAAGGTTGGCCATCGCGCGCGCATCAACGAGGTTTTTGGATCTTTTTGTTGAATTTAGAAAAGGTGGTCAGGTTGAAATTCGAGCAGATCGCGGCAAAATGCGTAAATTCGTAGTCTGAATTGAGTGTCGCTACCGCACTTGGATGTGGATACGAACATCTGAGCACCACATCATGAAAAAGCTCAATAGGTCTAGAGCCTACCTTAGAGTTAGTTCACCTACTTTGTATGCCTCTATGTTACTGTAGGCTGCAGGCCTGCTTGGAGTTTTCTTGGTTAACGTGGCACCATCATTCTGCGCACTAATGCGAAGGCACCTTTTCTGTAAATGCACGCTATAGACTAAGACACACTTTGAGGCAGTTTCTGCGATGCCGTCCTGGAAAGGGCATGATCCAGCAATGATATGTACTTGAGTAGAGTATGCTGTAATCTCGCCCACAGGTCCGTGAAGATTAGTGTCTTCGTACACGGGAACCCCACCTCAACTGATCAGCACCAATTAATCACTCCCTCCGTCCTTCTCGACAAGCTATCCGATCATTTCGCCGTCCCGGATGAATCATTCCAGAATCTCTTCCGCATATCGTCGAATCGCGTATGCTGAAGCCATTCCAGCAGGCTCCATCACCACGTCAGCGAACCAATACATGATGACCTCATGGAAACTTGGTAGTGTTTTCCCAGCAGTGACACCACTTCCAATTCCCCTAGCGTTTCTGTTGTACTTGCGCGTGCAGAAGCTGTCCAGAAAGGTCTGTAGATAGTACTTGACGTTTGAGGTTCCCTCCCAAGTACAACTATGGGGACAGGATGGTCCAAGTTCTGTCTTGGACAGAGAATCACTCTGAACGCGATTTACTGCATGCTTTTGAAACAGAAGAGCCCAATGCAGCATGTCTAGCTTTGGGAGCTTGTATAGGCCCTGGGCAATCGAGCGCCATGATCCGTCCGTTAGCGTTACGAATGTGGAGTCGAATTCCTTCAACGTGGCTGAGTGTTGCTTTATGAAACGTCGTAGTCGACCCCCGCTAATGTAAGTTGCGTGAAGATCCAGCCTGGTAATGTTGGAGTAGTGCATAGTAGCAATGTGCATGGAAAACACTACATGGCAGCCGTCGCAGAATCTCAAGCGAGGATGGGTCTCGCAACCTTCCAGGCGAAGAGTCTCGATCTGAGTATGATTTGCGACAAGTCGAGACAGATTTGTGTGATCCGGCTGATAGCCCTTCAAATGATACCCATGCTCGTTGCACCTTTTGGCGTCCTGTATTATCTGCTTGATTTCGGGACGTTCGAAAGGTAAGGTCGGGGTGCTGATCTCGATACCCTTGGTGTATGGTGAGCAATCCGCAGGACAGATCATCAGAGTGCGATGATCAGCACCACTTAGGTTTCCAGGCCGCACTGTGAAGACTGTCTTCTTCCTTGCAAAGCCGCTCCTCGCTGAAGCGGCATGTATGAGGCGGTGCAAGTCCGTATCCTGTGCCGGAACTTCCTCCAAAGAAGTCGCTTGCTTCAAGTTCCGGAAGCATGCTGCTAAAAGTTCAACAGTTTCGCTGGCTTCCAAATATGTCGAAATCTCTTCGCGGCGCATTTCACGGATCGGGGACAATCCCCATGGAATATCACAGTCGTCTTCCGTGCTATTCACGCTAGGATAGTAGAACAGCACTCGCTTGATCCGGTCGCGAAAAGCTGGTATTTGAGTTAAGTGCAATAGCTGGCAGAGTCCTTTGTGGTCGACGACTATCTCGAGCTCTTCTAGCAATAGTCCGTACCTGACCGCAGCGTCGAAAGTAGTCTTCGCGTGAAGGTCTCGGCAGGTCAGGCGGAGCGACTTTAGGTCACGATTATTGTAGGATAAGGAGCCATCTACATCGTGTTCCAGGCCTAGGTATCGACAGGTCCTGCTGATAATCTCCGTGGGTAGAGATAGTAGAGACATTCTGAATCGACTAGAGGAATGCGGTTGAAGCCTACGTTGGTCCAAAAAGGTGCGAAACTTGAGTGTTGTCGTTGATGTAGGCGTCTGGCGGTGAGGTGGAGGCGCGAAACTTGAGTGTGGTGACTGATGTAGACTCCTGGGTGCGCAGGCGGAAGCCTTGTTCAGTCGGTTGAACGGTATCGCGAGCGAGAAGAGAGTGTAAGGGTTATGTAGCAGCTGAAACCCGGGCGTGCACGTGTGTAGAGCAGAATGTGGGTATCATATGTGACCAAGGCGCAGTGAAGATCAGGTGTAAGGTGGCTTTGTGGCGTTAGTGAATGGATGGCATCTTCAGCGAGAGCGCCGGCAACGTGATTTTAATGGGCTCGTATTGAGTGTGTCAAAGGGCTGCTGGATAGCGTTGTGGTCGTGGTTGTATGGTAGGGTATCGCGAGCGACCGATCGAACCACGGTGGCGTAGAAAGGCGGCGAAGTCAGGAGTTGATCGCTGGTGCGGCCAACCGACTGTGCGGGCGAAGGTTTGCAGTGGTGAGGCGGAAGGTAGAAGACAAGAGACGCAGAATATGGAAGTGGGAAAGAGAAACCTTGGAAGCAGCAAACATATGTGATGGCGCTAGTCTACTTACGGTACTATGACTACCTAGGTAGCGACCAGGCGCAGCGCAGATTCTGATCACACCCGGGATCTAGTCCAGACGGTAAGCTGCACGCGCTTTCACTGATTATCATTCGTTATCTCAGTGTAAATACTGCAATATACGGGGGGAGTACGCACGCCCTATCTGTGTCGCCACTGGAGTATGAGGCAATCAATTTTAGTCGAGATGCACAAAAGCTCCTGCTTGCAGAACGACAGATAAAGCACGAGGATTGAAAGCTAACGTTGGGGCATGATGGGGTATTTTTGCCAGCGGACCAAAGTAGAGCCAGAACGTGATAAATTCGCAAAGATGAGTAGTATCTGGGTTGAGCGATGATGTACAGGACTAGGCTCTAAACCATGATTGGTTTGGACTCCCTCAGAATGCAAATTGCTGATACAATGTGACAAAACTACACGCAAAAACCCATATTAGACCCTCAGAATGGTCGCTAAGCTTTAGCCGTATAAAACGCCTCGTCCAGCAAGCATGTATCTCCTAGTAGTACATCCTGTACGACTGCATATCACTCCAGTCAGAACTAACGTCCAAGACCTCTTCCGCATACCGTTTCTCAACGTATGCAGCTTCCATATATCCGTTACTCGCCACAACTTCAGGGAAGTCATACATGTACACCTCGTAGTATCTTGCCCGAGTCTTGCGCGACGGTTGTGTGGTATAGCCACGAGAATATGGTTTGCGACCGAACTTCGCCGTCCAGAAGTGCTGCAGGAACATCTGCAGAAAGAGCTTTATATTCGACTTTCCGTGATATACGAGCTCGAGATACCACCTCTGGTCTGAGAAAGACGGAATCTTGGACTTGGTGACCTCGTGCTTTTGGTAGAGGGAGTCGAGGTAGAGCGTCTCGAGTTGCGGTAGTTTGAGCAAGCCCTGGGCTAGAGATTGCCATGAGCCATCTGTCAGAGAAACGGATGAGAAGCGGACTTCCTTCAGTGTCGTAGTGTGCTGCTTGACGAAGCGGCGGAGCCGGCCCCCGCTCACGTAGGCCTTATCCATAGAGAGATAGGTTAGGTGACTGAAGTGCGCGGTCGCAATATGTTTGAACACCGCATCGCATCCGTCGCAGAGCCGTAACATGGGCAATTTATCGCATCCAGCGATTTGAAGATGGGTGATGTCGCTATACGCTGCAAGAAACCTGGAGAACTCTCGATAGCTTGGCTGATATCCTTTGAAGTGGTAGCCTTGCTTGCCGAGCTGTCTTTTTTTCCGCTTTGACAGCTTCCTGTGAAGTGGCGTCCTATCCTCGAAAGCCGAGTCGGGCGCTTTGATGCTCAGACCTTTGGTGTATGGCGCGCATTCTCCCGGAGAACTTGTAACACTGCGATAGCCTGATTTGACGACAGGCTGTGCTAGTACTTCGAAGATTGCGATCTCGCGCGGAAACTCACTTGCTGCTAGAGCGGCAGGAACAAGACCGTACAGGTTGCGCCCGTGAACGGTAATCTCCGATAGCGCAGGAGCGTCTTTTAAGTTCCGAAAACATTGCGCGAGAAGGTGTACCGTCTCGCTAGCCTCCAAGGACGTTGTTATATCGTCGACCATTTGCCCTCGAAACGCAGCTTTAGCCTAAGGCGTGGGTGGACGGCGTCAGTAAGTGTGTCATACGTAGTTGGTGCGCGGAGATCCCTCACCCATTGAGCCGTCAAGGAGTCTGGCGGAGCTTCCTCGTTCTCATAAGGAGACTTGAGTATCAATGTTCGAATCCGCTTGGAGAAGTCGGGGATCTTGGTGATGTGAAGAAGGGCGCAGAGCCCCTTGTGGCTGGCTTCGATATCTAGCAGCTCAAGAAGTAGGCCATATCTCACTGAAGCGTCGTACATGGTCTTCGAGTACAACTCTCGACAAGTTATACGAAGTGGTAGGAACTCATCAGTGTTGCAATAATGAGTGAAGCCGCCGCGTTCATCCTGAATCATTCCAAGATGACGGCAGATCCTGCTGATGATCTCGGCGGGCAGTGACAATAACGACATCGTGCGGGTGGTCGATCGAGGAGTCAAGCAGAGTAGGTCGAGGCGTAGATGTGAGCGCCCTAGGACCCTGTTAAAGAGTTCGTGAACTTATGTAGGCAGGAGAATCCGTTGGGCGCTAGGCTCCAGGTACTGTTGTGTGCGGGCTATAATTCACTATTCCTTGGCACCGCTCGCGTTACGCAATGACCGAAACAATTTTCTCGATCTCTGCATACCGGACACCCTTCTATATGTATTGATTTAGCACTCGCAAACTACTCCTCAGGCGGATACACAACAATACGATCAATATCCGCGCCCTTAACATCCTGCCCGTTATCCAGCCCACCAATAGTAATAGTGTTATGACTACCCTCCTCCAAGTTCAACATAAGCGGTGTACTCAAGACGATACCCTTGTGCGTATCTCTTTGGTACAGCGACTCCACCTCTTCAGTCTTGTTGTTTACAATAACGCTCGAGATGCGGCGAAGCTGCCAAGTCCCATTGATACGATCGGGCGAACCTCCAGGCTGGTCGCCGAAGCCCATGTCGTCGGTGTTCTGGTAGTAGAACGAGACCCATTGGGGCTTCCCGGTGCCTTCGATGTTGGAGAAGGTGACTTTGCTGTCGTTGCCGTAGATGCCGGTGACGATGACGCCATCGCTGCCGAAGGTGGCTTCTTGGTGGTAGGCGTCGCCGGTGGTGGTGGCGTTTTTGCCGTAGTAGGTAGTGCCGTTGATGGCTGTGACTTCTCCGGTTTTCACGTCGAGATCGTAGACATCGTACCATTTCAGCTCAACCGACTTCTTCTCTTCGTCAATCTCAAGTGGTAGCCAGATGTATCTGCTTTCCCAGAGACTGTTAGAGTCCCATTGGTCACCCATGTATAAATAGGTAGTCTTCTTGGTACCATTGATCCGAAGGTTCAATCCAGATTGCGAGTTGAAGGTACGTGTGTTGAGCGGTGCGATGATGAATGGTTGAGACCAAGGACCAGCGAGGGAGTCGGCGCGGAAAGCAACCACGTCTGGAAGTGGTCAGCACATGATGGAGATCTCCGTTTAGTGGAAACACTTACTATTTGGGCGGTAACCCGTCTTATGCGACATCAACGCGAAGTAGCTCTTGTCGGTCTGCACGATGGTTGGTGCTTCGAGGTCGTACTTGTCGAAACGATGAACGACTTCATCTAGAGCAGTAATGTTCTCATTGAAGGAAGTGAGGTAAACGTCGCGTCCTTCCCTGCGGTCGCCGTTGGAGTATAGCGAGTACGCTCGGCCGTCTTTCTGGTCTACGAATAGACCGAAGTCTTGTGACCAGTTCCCAAGTGGCGCTGTAGCATCAACAAAGCTGTAGGGGCCGGTGATGTTGTCCGAGACCGCAAGACCTTGCAGAAGCTCTCCGTAGGTGGAGTTGTCGGCGTGCCACCACATCTATTAATGTTAGCAAAGCTACCGTGGTTGCTGAAGACGGGCGCTTACATGATATTGACCAGTGCCTTCGCTGAATACAACCTTCGGCCGTTGAATGATGTCCTCGGGTGAGATGTAGGGATGGTCCTCGATGGGCTCCAGGGCCAGACCGTGAGGCTCCCATGTCGCAAGGTCGTCGGAGCTGTACACGCTGACACCACCACCCTCTTCCTGTCCCTCGATCTTGTATTCGCCGAACCAGAAGTACTTGCCCGTCTCTTGGTCCACAGTAATACCACCAGCGTGCGCATTCACAAGAGTGTCATCAGTAGCTCTCCAACGCGCTCCAGGGACGATCCATTTGGCGGAGGCAGTCGCTGCAGCTAGCAACAGCTGGCATGAAAGCGTGTTGAAACCCATTGCGATGTGATGCGATGGCGGACTGGGGTGACGAACATTTTCTGGTACATGGCTGTAGACCTCATATAGGTAGCCGGTTGCAGAAGCATGGATGTTTACCAGCCAAGCGGCTCCGGATTCTTTTCACCCGAGCATTCAGGAACCTAAGCCCTGGATATCATCTTGCGGGGCTCCGCACCCATTCATAGAAGAGATCGTCGTATTTCTCCAGGTTTTGGGATGGCCCGCTACCGCAATTTGGCTTGGTCAACTCGGATGTCGGAAAAACCAAGACTTCGAGCTGGTTGCCAACGATGAGGGGATGTCGCCGCATGCATACTTTACGGGAACACTACTAGATCGAGCTTTCAGTCCGCATGTACACAGGTCGACAGGTCTTCGGAGACATGGGCCAAGGGCTGGTGTTGAGGTATTTCGAGAATGAGGATGGTAGCTTCGGGGTAGCTTGAAGATGGAGCTCGCTTGCGGAAGCTGCTGACGTCATCATCACGGGAAGCTACATGCCATGCCGCCCTCAGCTACCTGAGTAATCTACTCACCAACTGTCAACATCTACATGCGACCTTGGGATGGTCATGCTTATCCCAATTCTCAGACAAATTTACAGCGTCGTTGTTTACAATTGTTGATAGTAGGCTGTCGTACAGTTTTATTCTCCAAAACCCTTCCAAGCTACTGTATGGCGAAAGGAAGGGTCTTTGACATGGAGATATTGCTCGATCGCCGTCACGAAGCTTTTGAATACCGACCGATGACAGTGGAAACAAAGCTCTTGGAAGTGTACCTCTATTGCGACCATACATACCTAGGTATTGTTACCTAGGTACTCGACCGTGTCGTGCCTACATTCCGGAACCAGCACGTAATAGCAACAGCGTCTTCACACTGCCTCAACTCTCTAATCACCAAAAGATCTTATGTAGACACTACGCAGATGCTCCATATCACTATAGCCCCGTATCCGAACAACCAGCAATGCCCCCCGCGCACTACACTATGTACATTCGATGTGGTTGCAGCAGCTCAATACTTAGGTGACTTGTCGCGTTGCCAGTTTGACCGTCATTTGATGATATTACGGCATGAAGTAAAAGGGATTCAGATTCACAATGGACTACGTTACTCAGCGGGAAAGATTGTGTTAGCAGCTACGCGATGCTACGATGCCAGTCTCCACACAACGCGATAGCCTCGTACAAGACTGCATCTCTTTCTTCGGCTGGCATGACAATCAGATGAACAAAGACTAATCTGTATCAACGACGCATACTGGGAACGTGCGCAAACGCCTGTAATTACTCACTCCCCACTCGCAACACCACAAACACACATCAACTCACTTCTTCAGACCTAACAGCATACAGATACTAATGTCATTGGCCACATCCCCATCGCAGCACAAAAGGCTATATACAAATCTCAAAGCGAACGTCAATATATACATAATTCCGGGTCCACATCTCCCAGCCCATCGCTCCACCCTTCAGACTAAGCCCTCTACCCCAACGCATCAATCGCAGGCCCTACCATGCCGCTCGACTAACAGCTCGGCAGCTTCTCCAACTTCCCCTGAGCACCCGTGCAAGCGCTCGTCGAGCTAACCTTGCTGCTACTCCCATTGCCCTTGTTAACACCCTTGTACTCCTGGCACACCTTCTTTGTCGTTCCGCACGACCCACTGATGGAGGCTGTGTCACCGAAGTTGGAGTTGATACCAATGAGATCGGAGGTAAGCCCGAAAGCGCGCACGTTCTCGACGATGACCTTGCGGGGCGACTTTTTGGAGTTGTCGGTGCAGTCGCCGCAGGAGCGGTAGAGTTTGCCCGCGTTGACGATGGTGTAGTTTTTGATGGTTACCGTGCCGGCGCCGCTGGAAGGGGTGGGTATGTTAGTACGTGTTCGGGTTTGGGGGGTGGGAAGGGAGGGGGAGGAGAGGGGAGACGTACTTATGCTGAATAACTTTGTCGCTGGCTTGAGCGGCACCTCCGCCTTGGATGAGGGCGTTGCCGCTACCGAGGATGGAGATGGCATCTTCGCAGACGTCGCGGAACCAGACGTTTGTTAGGGTGCAGGAGCCTGTTATTCCAAGGTTGTTAGTGTCATTCCTGCAGGGTCGCGAGAAGAATGTACAACATACCCAAGCAGTGCACGCCCTCGAGCGCATTTGCGCCAATAATGACGTTGGAGATGGACGCGCCGTTCTGGAGGATGAAGACGGCGCTGTCGCTGCCAGTATCCTCGTCTGAGTTGCAAGGCCGACCGCGGTCGAACTCCTTGTTACCAAAGTTGACGCTGCCGGTGATGGTGCTGGGCTGGGGGAGCGAGACGATGCTGCCTGAGCGAGTGGGGATGTTGAGAGTCTGCGCAGCTGCCATGCTGGCGACGAGGGAAAGGAGTGCGACTTGAGACAACATGATGATAACAAGTTCGTGCGTAAGTTGGAGAATGAAGTGGAGGAGCTGCTAAGTTTGCAGATGGGCTGGATACTCGGAGAAGAGATGAGTGAGCTGCTGGTCTACCACTCGGAATCCCCATTGCCTTTATACACATCCTCGATACCCACCTCTCCTCGATACCTGCATCGCCAACCAGATCTAGACACCGATGTAGCCCTCTACGGACGTCGTGAAATTGCTACGGGGTGGATGAGACCCTGGATTGTGGATCTCGTCCGGCAAGCCAAGACACTGTAGTATTTGTGGAGAATGGTGGAGAATTGTCTTCCGCCGTGGTAAGTCATGCTTGGCTAGGGGCTGAGGTTGTTGTACCCTTACCGGTGGTTAGAATGGTCATGCCCACCATCACAACCTCACTATTTCGATCTACACTGCATAACTGAATACGCCCTGGACCTTTCGTGATTCGCGGGATTTTCTCTTGACATGTTTTTCCGTACGCCATGAGTCGAGAATGTGCAGTTGTGTGATGTCGAACAGTATCTATGACACAGGTGACGGTGTTTTGGCGTTGCTGTATATTGGGGAAGACCTGGGGTACATTAGTGCAGCGCCATATGTCGGTAGAGAATTTTCCGCGGTGTTTGGAAGGATTCCTGGGCGGAGGGTTGGTGATGACTTGGCGTTTCAGTTGGGAGATGGGCTATGGTTCTTGTGCAATACCACCTCTGGAGTCGATCTCTGGGTGGGTGGTATGCGATCAAATCTCTTTCGAAATGTTCCGTTCTACTTTGAGAACAGATCGCCTCGGCGAAGATGTGCTGTTGGCTGGTCGTACTTTCACGTCGTAAAGGAGTCAACGCATTCTCACCGCTCACGTATCTTCGTTCGCTGGACTCAAAATCTTGTCGAAGAGTACAAGGCCGAGGCCTAGATATGGATATCCCTAGATCCACACTTCCGGTCTTGCATACCTCTATGGTCCGTTTCCGCGACTCCCGCGAAGGACTACGATAGAATTGCTCACCGATGATTGGCAGTCATCCATCGGTCAACGGCTCCTATCAGCGGAAGCACCCATCCCAGAGTACTAGAACGTCTCAGATGGGGCGGATGGCAGTAAGTACCCGATCCGACGGCATTTGAGGATGGACATCATCGCCGACGATGCCCAGGTGTGAGGTTCCATGGGCACAATCCATATCGTAATCTTTTCGCTCCGTACTTCCACCAACCGGCGCCATTGGAAGGACAGATCCATATTGCATAAGCCTGGATAGGCAATGCAAGTGCGGAACGTTTCCTAAGATGTGTTTCAAGATCGAATGCGGTAAACACGTGGAGATCATGACGCCTGGACAATGTGAGGGCCGCGATACTTTCTGCACTTGTAAATGACGTGTAATGAGTGTCTTGTCGTTCTAGATAGATTAGTGCCACGACGAAAGGTATATTTGATCAATAATCACCAATGTTGTCGATGTTTGAGAGAAACAGCATGCAGGTGTCTATTCGGACTAGCAGATGAGTAGAGTGGGCCGAAGTCTTGGCAGCGGAGGCCCACCGAAAAGTCTCGAGCAATTCAACACCTCTACACAACCAACGCGCCACTCTACCCACCGCCCAAAATGTCGTCCATGCGAAATGCCGTTCAACGGCGAAACCACAAAGAACGTGCGCAACCCGAAGAGCGCGCAAAATGGGGTCTCCTCGAAAAGCGCAAGGACTACAAGCTGCGCGCGCACGACCACAAGCAGAAGCAGGCTAAACTCAAGATTCTGAAGCAGAAGGCTCAGGACCGCAATCCTGATGAGTTCTCCTTTAAGATGATGTCGTCCAAGGTGGACAAGCAAGGGAAGAGGGTGGCGGACCGGGGCAACAAGGCGCTGAGCATGGAGGTGGTCAAGCTGTTGAAGACACAGGACGCGGGATACATTCGCACTATGCTGCAGCAGACGCGCAAAGAGAGGGAGGAGGTAGAGCAGCGGCTGATAATGGAGGAGCAGGGCGAGGTGCGTGCTGTGAGGGATGCGGCGAGGACGAAGCAGGGCAAGCACAGAGTCTTTGTGGACAACGAAGAGGAACAAGAGGAGTTTGAACCAGACACTTGGTTCGGGCGCGGCGAGGACATTCCTGCGCGCAAAGAATCACCCAATTTCGGAGACCTACAAGACGAGCTATCGGATGATGACGACGAAACACCTATCCAGCGGCCGAACACATTATCGAAGAAGCAAATAGAGGCACAAGAGCAAGCACGGAGAGAAGCTCGAAAGTTCCGCAAGGACAGGGAACGAGCACAAGAGCGCCACGTAACAAGATTACGCGCACTCAAGAAGCGGGAGAGCGAACTCATGGCCGCTGAAGAAGAACTCGAACTGCAGCGCGCAAAGATGAACAACACCGTCGGCGGAGTGAACAAGAACGGCGTCAAGTTCAAGATCAGGGAGCGCAAGCGCTGAGCCCCCATTAAACTCATATACCCAAATAAATACAACTACAGCCTTGCCGGCATCCTCATCGCGCCATCCAGCCTCAAAACCGTCCCATTCAACATCTCATTCCCCACACACTCGACCACCAACCTCGCAAACTCCTCCGGCAGCCCCGCCCTCTTGGGGAACTCCATACTGTTCTCCAAACTCTTCTTCACCTTGTCGCTCATCATGCGCGTCATCGCGCTATCGAACATACTCGGCGCAATCGTCACAGCACGGATACCATACTTTGACAGATCGCGTGCAAGCGGCAGTGTAAGACTCGCAACCGCACCTTTCGACGCCGCATACGCAACCTGACCCATCTGTCCATCAAACGCCGCCGAAGACGCAATCATGATAATCACACCGCGCGACCCATCAGGACTCGACGGCGTAGTCGTAGTCATATGCGGCACCACCTGCCTAACCAAATCCAACGTCCCCCTCAAATTTATATTGAGCACAAAGTCAATACTCTCAATGCTCAACGGCTCGTTCTTCTTGTCGATAATCAGGCCTGGCATTCCTACTCCTGCTCCTGCTACCACGCCTCCGATGTCCTTTCCTGTTTCTTTCACCCAGGCGACTGTGCCGCGGACTGCGGACGCGATGGCGTCTGTGTCTGTGACATCGGTTTCGAAGAACTTTGCGCGGGAGCCGAGTTCGGACACGATTCTGGAGCCGTTTTCCGCATTGAGGTCGAGCAGCGAGACGTATGCGCCAGCGGAGTGGAGGGCGCGGGCGGTTGCGAGACCGAGGCCTGAGACGCCGCCGCTGATGAGGAAGGTGCGGTCTGCGATCTTCATCGTGGTTGTTGAATAAGAGGGTGAGGGTACGGATGGATCGGTAGCTAGACGAACACAATTTTGCGACTCGTGATTTCTAGCTGTGCTCGTGTCTACGTGATGTAAAGTCAACTGGTAGAAACGCAACTAAAAGCGCATGTGAAGTCCAATCCACGAACGCCGTTCCTCAAGCTCACATGCCTCGGCCCACCCAGATCGGCCAAACCAAGCCCACAACCTCCGATATGCCCGCTCCGTATCCTCACCACCGAACTGCATAGACATGCCCCACTCCGAATAACATCAATCTTGCCAATCCGATCCAATCTCGAAACTCAGCACCGCCGGGAGTCCGCAAAGACGCCCACTCACGTCCACGTCCACGTCCACCAACCACACACTTCCTACATCGTCACTCGCTACCTGATATCTCGAGCTCCATTCGGCCACGCATTCGACTTGCACCACCCAACCCCACCGCCTGGGCAGTGCCCACCCACCTCACAACCTCGCAATAGCCCACGAGCAATAGCCCACGATGGCCAACACAGAAGACCGCATGATAATCGGCACCAACCGCACGCCCACGAACCCCACCCCCCTATCCGCGCCCCAAGAACAACAAGTCAAGGATTTATATTACAAGAACGTGCGGGCGAAATGCGCAAAGGAGATTGAAACCTTTGCGCAGTGTGCCCTCGGACGCACGTTTACGATGATATACGCGTGCCGCCAACCCCGCCTCGCCATGAACTCCTGCATGCTGCAATACCAAAACCAAGACGAACTGGACAAAGCGCGGTTGGAGTGGTTTGCGTTGGCGGAGGAGAGGAGGCAGGTATGTTATATCAAGTCTCATACACTTTCAACTCTCCCACTGTATCTGTGGGAGGCTTCACTGACATGTGTGATAGGCAAGGATAGACCACCAAAGAAAGCTGGAAGATGCGCGGGAAAAACACAAAGAATGGTGGAATCTAGACGAGAGTGGACGGACGCTGGGAAAGAAGGCAGAAACGGTTACTGAGGCGGGGTTGAGGAGGAAAGAGGAGAATAGGGTGGATGATAGAGGCGTTACTAGGGGTGGGGTTTATGGGTCGAGATGAGGGGACTTGTTGGAGACGGATCATGGAGCGGATGGATGTATATTGTATTATAACGTGTAAATACTCTCTTCCGCAATTTCAAACTCAGCGCAGCCCATTTGCGCGCAAAGTAAAAGCTCAAAGTTTTTTGTCCAACTCTGGTATACCTCGCAGTCCAGTCCAATCCATAACGCCGTACCAAATGCTCAAGTCCCACCCAAACGCCGTACCAGTCACCCTTTGTGCTGCTGCTGCTGCTGCCCGCTCAAGTCAAGCTTCCAGCTCAACCACTATTCTCCTGGTCAATCCCCATAGCCTCCTCAAACTCGTCATCATCAACCTCCTCATCTTCCTCCATACCCCCCATATCCGTATCCTTGGCCTCCGTC